AGAGCAGTGGTTCTCAACCTGTGGGTCACCAGATGTTTTGGCCTTCAACTCCCAGAAATCCTAACAGCTGGAAAACTGGATGGGATTTCTGGGAGTTGTAGGCCAGAACACCTGGGGACCCACAGGTTGACAACCACGGACATAGAGAGAAAGGATGAGGAGAATGAAGAAACAAAGGACCTTTTGGAAGCAGCTGAAAAAAGTGAGATGAAAAATGATTAATCAAGATTATACCAGCTAAATAATAAGAAGGAAGGCAGTTAATGACAGGCTGTCTTGGAGATTATGCACACTGCAGAAATATAACAATTTGATATCACTTTAACTGTCATGATTCCATTCTATCGCATCCTGGGACTTGTAGCTTGTTATTGCACTGCAGCACTCTGATAGCGATGGGTAAACATCTTATAAAAGTACAAATCCCACAATTCCATAGTATTGAACTATGGCAATTAACGCAGTGTCAAACTGTTATAATTCTGTAGGGTGGATATAGCCTTGGAGGTCTCTCATTCATAGGGTTGCCATAAATCAAAGTGAAACCAGGAACCAAAAAAAAAAGAGGTACACATTGCAGAGATGAAATGGAAGACACGTTTGATGCTGATCTGAACAGAGATGTGATGCGCACTGTTTGACACATCTGATCCTTCCTCCTTCACATGTCACTGCTCCTTTCTGTTTCTAAGTACATACATTATATGAAGCTGTTACTTCCTCTTCTCAAGGGTTCTATGCAAGGATTCCACTTCCTGTCCAACTGCAAAAGGAGAACCAGAAACTGAACAATGCTTTGTACTGAAAGGGTCTTTGAGTGAAATTTGCAAATGCTAAGCAAGGGGCTTTGAATGAAATTAACAGCAAAAGAGAAATATACCCTTTCTCTGTAGAAAAGGAGCGACAGGGAAGAAAATGTTTTTAAGAAACAAGATGTGACATGTAGATGTCATACAAAGTTCAAGCCTACATAGGCAGTAGTTGTGTTGTGGTTAAGTTCAAAGGTTGTGGTTAAGCGCAGAGTCTGCAAGTACAAGAAGGTACTTTCCATCAAAAGATCAAGGGAGAGGGGCTGGAAAGAGAGTACTTTCCATGACCTATTACTTGAGTATAAAAGTCAGCAGAAACAGAGGAGGGGTGCGGCAGTCACTTGAAGGGTAGCATCTGCGTATTCTGCCAGGATGTCCGTCTTCTTCATGAAGAAACTAAAATAAACCTTGTTTTTTGATCTTTTTTTGGGACTGTCTCCTTCCTTACGTGTTCCCGTGATGTGGACCTAAGAAGACCCAATTTAGGGTCTCAAACAGTACCACTTCCAAGCTCTGTCTACTAGAAAGAGGGAGGTATTGAATATACTCCAGTGTAGTACAATGGTCTATGTCAGGGGTCCTCAAATTTTTTTAACAGAGGGCCAGGTCACAGTCCCTCAAACTGTTTGTTTGTTTGTTTGTTTGTTTATTTATTGTATTTATATACCGTAGGCAACTCAAGGTGGTTAACAGGGTAAAATTCAATGCTTACAATATCATAAATATAATTAAAAACAGAACATAATAAAAACTAAACAAATCAATAAAATATAAATTCATAATGTCTCCTTGTTAAAAACCTTGTCCGGTCTCATTGTCGTCATTTTTCTATGTCAGTTACTCTGCATTTGGAAATGCTTGTTCAAAAAGCCACGACTTGATTTTTTTCCGGAATGTGACTAAGTACTCAGGAGTGGGCTTTTATGGGTGAATGTTAAAAGGGAGGTGGCCGATCTATAAACTTATTAGTATTTCAATGGGAAGTGTGGGCCTGCTTTTGGCTGATGAGATAGAATTGTTGTTGTTGTTGTTTGCTTTCAAGTCATTTCAGCCTTAGGTTGACGCTGAGCGAGGGCCGGGTAAATGACCTTAGAGGGCAGTATCTGGCCTTCGGGCCTTAGTTTGAGGACTCCTGGTCTATGTGTTGGGCTATGACTCTGGAAACCAGAGTTCAATTCTCTGCTAGACAACTTAGGTGACTTTGTGCAAGTCACACACTCTCAGCCCCAGAAACCCTTTGATAGGGTTGCCATACGTCAGAAATGACTTGAAGGCACACAGCAACCACAAGGAACCTGGCTAGGGATCCACTTTGGCAAACATGAAGCCAGACCTAATCCAACAGGAATTACATTCCTAAAGAAAAGGCTAATCATGTGACCAGGGTAGCTATCATCAAGTCAGCTTCTACTTTTGGTGGCTCCATAAATGAAAAAAAGCCCATGGGATTTTGGCCTGCATCAATAGGAGCCTAGTGTCTAGATCTAGGGAAGTCATGCTGCCCCTCTATTCCGCTTTGGTTAGACCACATCTGGAATATTGTGGGCACCACATCTGGGCACCACAATTCAAGAGAGATATTGACAAGCTGGAATGTGTCCAGAGGAGGGCGACTAAAATGATCAAGGGTCTGGAGAACAAGCCCTATGAGGAGCGGCTTAAGGAGCTGGGCATGTTTAGCTGAAGAAGAGAAGGCTGAGAGGAGATATGATAGCCATGTATAAATATGTGAGAGGAAGCCACAGGGAGTAGGGAGCAAGCTTGTTTTCTGCTTCCTTGGAGACTAGGACGCGGAACAATGGCTTCAAACTACAAGAGAGGAGATTCCATCTGAACATGAGGAAGAACTTCCTGACTGTGAGAGCCGTTCAGCAGTGGAACTCTCTGCCCCGGAGTGTGGTGGAGGCTCCTTCTTTGGAAGCTTTTAAGCAGAGGCTGGATGGCCATCTGTCAGGGGTGATTTGAATGCCATATTCCTGCTTCTTGGCAGGGGGTTGGACTGGATGGCCCATGAGGTCTCTTCCAACTCTTTGATTCTATGATTCTATGATTCTATCCACAATAGCCCTGCTCACATCCTGCAGGTTAGGGGCTGTGGTTTACTCGATTGCATCTTTCTGTTTCGTAGTGCCAAGCATTGTTGCCTTTTTAGTGAGTCATATGGCCAAAGATATGTTAGTAGCCTTAAGTCCCTATGTCAGGAGAAAGGCAGGAAAAAATAATAAAGTGCAACTGACTCAATAGGAGCATAGTGTCTAGATCTAAGGAAGTAATGCTACCCCTCTATTCTGCTTTGGTTAGACCACATCTGGAATACTGTGTCCAATTCTGGGCACCACAATTCAAGAGAGATATTGACAAGCTGGAATGTTTCCAGAGGAGGGTGACTAAAATGATCAAGGGTCTGGAGAACAAGCCCTATGAGGAGCGGCTTAAGGAGCTGGGCATGTTTAGCCTGAAGAAGAGAAGGCTGAGAGGAGATATGATAGCCATGTATAAATATGTGAGAGGAAGCCACAGGGAGGAGGGAGCAAGCTTGTTTTCTGCTTCCTTGGAGACTAGGACGGAACAATGGCTTCAAACTACAAGAGAGGAGATTCCATCTGAACATGAGGAAGAACTTCCTGACTGTGAGATCCGTTCAGCAGTGGAACTCTCTGCCCCAGAGTGTGGTGGAGGCTCCTTCTTTGGAAGCTTTTAAACAGAGGCTGGATGGCCATCTGTCAGGGGTGATTTGAATGCAATATTCCTGCTTCTTGGCAGGGGGTTGGACTGGATGGCCCATGAGGTCTCTTCCAACTCTTTGATTCTATGATTCTATGATTCTATCCACAATAGCCCTGCTCACATCCTGCAGGTTAGGGGCTGTGGTTTACTCGATTGCATCTTTCTGTTTCGTAGTGCCAAGCATTGTTGCCTTTTTAGTGAGTCATATGGCCAAAGATATGTTAGTAGCCTTAAGTCCCTATGTCAGGAGAAAGGCAGGAAAAAATAATAAAGTGCAACTGACTCAATAGGAGCATAGTGTCTAGATCTAGGGAAGTAATGCTACCCCTCTATTCCTTTGGTTAGACCACATCTGGAATATTGTGTCCAATTCTGGGCACCACAATTCAAGAGAGATATTGACAAGCTGGAATGTGTCCAGAGGAGGGCAACTAAAATGATCAAGGGTCTGGAGAACAAGACCCATGAGGAGCGGCTTAAGGAGCTGGGCATGTTTAGCCTGAAGAAGAGAAGGCTGAGAGGAGATATGATAGCCATGTATAAATATGTGAGAGGAAGCCACAGGGAGGAGGGAGCAAGCTTGTTTTCTGCTGCCCTGGAGACTAGGACGCGGAACAATGGCTTCAAACTACAGGAAAGAGAGATTCCATCTGAACATGAGGAAGAACTTCCTGACTGTGAGAGCCGTTCAGCAGTGGAACTCTCTGCCCCGGAGTGTGGTGGAGGCTTCTTCTTTGGAAGCTTTTAAACAGAGGCTGGATGGCCATCTGTCAGGGGTGATTTGAATGCAATATTCCTGCTTCTTGGCAGGGGGTTGGACTGGATGGCCCATGAGGTCTCTTCCAACTCTTTGATTCTATGATTCTATCTATGATTCTATGACTCTGTTTATAGTCATCTTGGGCTCTAGGGCAGCGTATGTCCAAATATCCATGCTATCCATATGGAAGATTTATGCCATCCCAATCTAGTAGCTCATTGTCTTTATGGGAAACCTTTTGACATGTAGGCAGGAGAGCCGTTTATGGAGTTATTGTATTATTTATAATCTTGTGTTTTATAAATGTGTTTGTGGCATTATATCTGCTGTTAATTCTTTTTAGATGTCTGCTGTGAATATTTGCAATTGATTTGGAAGCCACCTTGGGTCCAGAGAAGGCGGCACACAAATACGACAAAGACAAAAAGCCACTACAAAGCTATAGAAAGCACCCCAACTCATGTGGGTAAAAATCTGAAGACTATATGACATCAAGGACCTGTGTTTGCTGCACACATGATGGCTTCAGGCGTGCAGCCCTTTGCCCCCTTCTTTTCACAGAGCTTTCATTTTGCTCCCCTCAAAAGGGAGATTGTTACTTCCGCTCTCATGCATTGCTCTCCCCAGACACATTCTCAAAAAAAAATAAATCCCTCTAGCCTCGGTGTCAATGAAAAGCAGCCTGCTCAGAGCAAAAGAGGAAATAGCCAACCTCATGCACCCAGAGATAGATAGATATGTGTGTGCGCAAGGGGGAAGGAACATTTGAAGAGAGGGAGAACTTCAGGCAGGCCACGCGGAGCAACCAACAAGGGTGCCTCGGACGCAGGGAACCATCCGAGGAACAGACAGAAGGACAAGGCTATGAATCCACAAGGTACCTACCACCTGGGGAATTTAACATATGGGGCAAGAATGGGACTCACAATGGGATGGCAGAAAGAAGACCAAAGTGGAAACTGGAGGAGGCCTTGTATTTATTACGTCTGTGTAAAGAAGGAAATTTCCCCTTGGTTACTTGTTACCTGGCTGCACTAAAGGGATACAAGCCTACTCCAGTTTTCACTCTGGCGACCCAAGATATGCTCCTTTTGGGAAGCACAAGTCCCAGAACCCTTCGTACATGCTGGGAAGTTTTTCGTAGCTTCATTCCCCACAAATGTAACTTTTCCCGGCTCTGTGACAAGCACAGGGAGAGGCTGAGAAATGATTCACAGAAGTCAACAAGCAACAAGATACTTTGCGATTAAATCAATGAATCAAGATTAAGGTTTAGGCACAGTACGGCAAAACAGAGAGAAAAACTAGGAAAAATGAAGCTGACAGGAGATCAAAACCCATCTAGACAAATTTGTCACCTAATACCTCCCACCAGAGTTTGTCATGTTTTTGAACCTTTAACCCCAGCTTGATGTTTGTTATTCTCTGTTTGCCTTGAAAATTGGTTGCTGAAGTTTTTAAGAGAGTGAGCTATCACCGGAGGCCAGGGTTCAAAACCCCGCTCAACCATGAAATCTCCTGGATGAGGCAAGTCTCAGTCTCTCAGCCTCAGGCTCCACCTGCACTGACACATTCAGTTTCTGAATCCAGATTATATGCTTTGAACTGATTATATGAGTCTACACTGCCAGTCCAAAGCAGATCATCTGGATTCAGAAACTGGCTTATATTATATGTCAGTGTAGATCCAGCCTCAGAGGAGGGCAAAGGCAAACCTACTCTAAGCAAACCTTGAAAAGAAATCCTGTGATAGGTTTGCCTGAAGGTTACCACAGGTCGAAAAGGACTTGAAGGCATACAACAACTATAGCCTAAAATGTAGTTGTGACTTTTGATTCTGACTGCATGACATCCCCGCTTTGAATGCATGAACTCGCCCTAGAAGATTATGATGATGATGATGATGATGATGATGATTATTATTATTATTATTATTATTATTATTATTATTATTCTGACACAAAAACACAGTATGACACAGTAAATGAGATGTATATGCTGGATTTCATATCACAAAATCACAAGTTGAACACTTCCCAAGCATCTAGGACCGTGTGATATATTTTCGAATGATGTGCACAGATCCAAGTAAGGTGGCCTTTTGCAGATGACAGATCGTGATTTTGTCAATGTTTATTGTTTCCAAATGCCGGCTGAGATCTTTTGGCACGGCACCCAGTGCGCCAATGACCACTGGGACCACCTGTACTGGTTTATGCCAGAGCCTTTGCAGTTCGATTTTGAGGTCTTGATAATGGCTGAGTTTTTCCTGTTGTTTTTCCTCAATGACTGTCACCTGGAATGGCGACATCAATAATCCAAACTTTTTTCTTTTCCACAATCATGATGTCTGGTGTATTGTGTTCCAAAACTTTGTCAGTCTGGATTCGAAAGTCCCACAGTATTTTTGCGTGTTCATTTTCCACTACCTTTGCAGGTTTATGATCCCACCAGTTCTTTACTACTGGCAGGTGGTACTTGTGACATAAGTTCCAATGAATCATTTGGGCCACAAAGTTGTGCCTCTGTTTGTAGTCTGTCTGCGATTTTCTTGCAGCAGGATGCGATCAATGGTTTCACTTTTACTTATTTATTTATTTGAAACATTTATATTCTGCTCTTCTCAGTCCAAAGGGGATTCAGGGCAGAGCACAGCATATATACAGCATGCATTCCATGCTGGAATATAATATAATATAACATAACATACACAAACACTAAAATCAGTTACATCTACTTTAAAATCAGTTGTTTAAAACCATCTCAAAACACCATGTTGGCTCTGGTCAGCAGAGTGGGTTTCCTATTATTGCCTTATTGCACTGTCTCAAAGGCTTGGTCTCACAGCTAGGTTTTTACCATCTTTCTGAAGGACAGGAGGGAGGGGGCTGGTCTAATCTTGCCAGGAAGGGAGTTCCATAGCTGAGGGGCAATCACTGAGAAGGCCCTCCCTCTCGGCCCCACCAAACACACCTGTGACTAAATAATAATAATAATAATAATAATAATAATAATAATAATCCTTTATTTGTACCCCGCTACCATCTCCCAAAGGACTCGGTGCGGCTTACACGAGGACGAGGACGAAATACAACAATAAACAACAAATGGAACTGTCATAACTAGACTACATCATAAAAAAGCAGAGATCACTAGAAATGGCCATAATGGTTGATAAGGTACAGGTTGAGTATCTCGTATCTGAAATGCCTAGGACCAGAAATGTTTTGGATTTCAGATTTATTCAGATTTGCATTAAACTATAGGTAAAGATAAAGGTTTCCCCTGACATTAAGTCCAGTCGTGTCCGACTCTGAGGTGTGGTGCTCATCTCCACTTCTAAGCCGAAGAGCTGGCGTTGTCCATAAACACCTCCAAAATCATGTTGCCAGCATGACTGCATGGAGCACTGTTACTTTCCCGCTGGAGCGATACCTATTGATCTACTCACATTTACATTTTTTTGAACTGCTAGGTTGGCAGAAGCTGGGGCTGACAGCGGAAGCTCATGCCGCTCCCCGGATTTGAACCTGTGACCTTTTGGTCAACAAGTTTAGCAGCTCAGCCACCCAGGGCTCCCTGTACAAACTATGTTTCATTTAAACTTTATATACACTGTCTGAAAGTACTTCTACACACGTAACGTTTGCACTAATGTTATGAAAGCCTTTGGCAATACATTTGTACTAATCTTGTGCATGAAACAAAGTTTGGGTTCCTTGGACCATCAGAAAGCAAAAGTGTTACTATCTCAGCAGCCCACAAGAAGAATTTCAGATTCCAGATAAGGGATGCTCAACCTGTAGAGGGCAGTAAGAAAGGGAGGACACTGCATTCAAGATGACTAGATTTATTTAGATTTCTATACCGGCCTTCTCAACCTCCACGAGGGACTCCATCAAGGAAGCCACAGTCCTGCATCTGCACTGTGCAAAGCTATTGTGGACAGATGACTTGATGGTCTCTCATTCATGGGGGTCACCATAAGATGAAGTCAACTTGATGGCAGTCAATGGCAAAAAGCTATGACTCCTAGGATTCTGTGGCTGTTAAGCAAGAATTATAGTACAGTACCAGTGCAGTCTGAATGGAACTTTACACCCAGTTTGTTTTGCTGAAGTCCTGACTGCTAAGGTTACCTACCAGTCTTTAATAATGCACTGTGTCATCTGGTGTTCCCATTAGAACGCTAGCCAGACAAACCACTTCTTAACAGAGGGCAGTCCTTGATGAGCAACTTCCTCTATTTTATGTTTTTCAATCTAAGTCCAATGTAAAGGCAAAGAAACTTGAGATGAGGGAATGTAAGGGCCTTGAGGTTACTCATAATCATTTACCAAACAGGTGATTTTGAGATACTGCCAGAATGCAATTCCTATTGCTTGGTCGAGAGTGAGGAATGATAGGAGTTGCTGTGCAACAGCGTCTGCTTTAATACCTGGACAGCAGGCTCATTATGGAGACCTCATCACACTAGAGAATGAATCCACTTTAAATCTGATTTCTGCCTCCTGCAGAATTCCGGTGTTTGTAGTTTAGTGAGGCTGTTAAAGGCTCCTTCTTGAACAACAAACCCCAGAATTCTGCAAGAGGCATAAACCTGATTTAAAGTGGATTCATTCTCCAGTGTGACATGTGCATGATATTTGCAAATACTGTATTTTTCCCTTTTTCAATTATAACAATTATTCCTAAATATGCATCTATACATGATGCATCTGCACCACCTGACATCCGCCGGGAAGTAGCAGCCAATAGTGAAAGGACCAAGGCAGAGACATCTCCAGCTCATCCCCTGTTTGGGTATCAGTGAGCACGTCAACGACTTAAATCTAGAAATAGTTTTCTAAGATCTACAGAGACACTCGCTGGAACACCTCAGCAAGCGAGAGTCCAAAAGTGGCAGGCTCAAACCCAGAACCTCAACCAATGGCTGATACCAAATGAGAGACTCCCCCCTGGGCACACAGAAAGCTGGGCGACTTGGAAGGCGCTAAACAGACTGCGCTCTGGCACCATGAGATGCAGAGCCAACCTCAAGAAATGGGGCTACAAAGTGGAATCCTCGACATGTGAGTGTGGAGAGGAACAAACTACTGACCACCTGCTGCAATGTAACCTGAGCCCTGCCACATGCACCATGGAGGACCTTCTTGCAGCAACACCAGAGGCACTCCAAGTGGCCAGATACTGGTCAAAGGACATTTAATCAACTACCAAACTCACACATTTTGTATTTTGTCTGTTTGTTTGCTTTGTTCTGTTAGAAATTTAATATAATTGACTGGTTGCCCTGACACGACAAATAAATAAATAAATAAAATCTGTTCCCAAATTTGCATCTTTTTACATGATGTCTCAATAATAATAATAATAATCAACATCATCATCTTTATTTATACCCCACCACCATCTCCCCAAAGGGGAGTCGGGGCGGCTAACATGAGGCCAAGCCCAGAAATAACAATACAACAAAACAAAATAAATTTCAAAGAAACAAAATAGCATCAAAACAACACAAGGAATGACAAAATGAAATGACCAATCTTTCCCTGAAATTGCATCTGTATTACACATTGTGTTTGTGGTTTTGTTTTGAACTGAAATCTACCAGTCAGCAAGGCCAGTAACTGAGAGTTGCCATTATAAAAAATGTAAAGTTTGATTTGTGTTCATGTCATTGGGCCCTCCACATTTACAGGTGTTATGTGAGTGCAGAACCACTGCAAAAGTAGGAACGCCTCAGATTTTTTTTCATGTCAGGAGCGACTTGAGAAACTGCAAGTTACTTTTGGTATGAGAGAACTAGTCATTTACAAAGACACCTGGATGTTTGATATTTTACAATCTTGCTGGAGGCTTCTCTCATGTCCCTGCAGAAGCTGGAGCTGACAGACAGGAGCTCACCCCATCTCACAAATTTGAACCGCTGACCTTCAGGTCAGCAGTTCAGCTGGCACAAGGGTTTAACCCATTGTGCCACTGCGGCTCCTACTAACCCTCAGATAAATAGAATGTTATTTTTATTTATTTATTTACAGCATTTATATTTCGCCCTTCTCACCCCAGGGAGGATTACAGTGTACACATATATGGCAAACATTCAATGTCAATTTTAACATACAACATATACAGACATACACAGAGGCTATTTAACTTTTTCTGGCCACCAGGGGAGCTGTCGTTTTCATTGTCCATCTGCGACACTGATGAAGTACTTCCGCATTCCCTGCATGCTTTTTTTGCTGGAGTGCTTTGCTGGAGTCTTTTTTATGGCCTCATAAATTAGTTAATTTAGCCTCTCCACACTTTAAGGTGGTACCTAATTTTCCTACTTGACAGATGCAACTGTCTTTCGGGTTGCAATGGTCGACAACAGGCTACACAATTGGTTGGAAACCCACTCCAACCTGGCCTGGCTTCGAACTCATGACCTTTTGGTCAGAGTGATCTTAATGCAGCTGACACTCAGCCAGCTGCGCCACAATCCCGGTTAATTTGAAAGTACACAGGGTTGCATGGGAAGATCTAAAGTTTCCCAGAGATTATATATTAATCAAATCCTTAAATAATGATATCCATACAAGACAACCCCACAAGTTGGAGGGCCAGCAGGAGCTCTGAATGTGTACTTTGCTTTTGTCCTCCATTTTGGTGGTGCATTCCCTCTTATTGGAGATCAGCAATATTGCTCTCCCATCACTACCTTCAATTTTACAAAGTTCCTCACTTCTCCCTCTCTCCCTTTTGCCCCAGCCATTAGTCTCTTACTCTAATGGTCGCTTGCCCCCTCTTTCATTTCCTCTCTGCTATTTGGGGCGTACAAAAAAAAAAAACCCAGCGTCAGGACATTTAGTCGAGTTCCTCTTTGCTTAGCCAAGCAAGACAGTGACCCAAAACTAAAATCGTTGACAGAAGTCAGAAATAGAGCTTACACACACAACACAGATGCCTCAGTCAGGAAATTGCATTTGGAAAGGGAAACTGGGAGCCTCCGAAAGAGTGCAATCCTTGGGTGAGAGGCAGAGGAAGTGGCAAGGATGACTGTTAACCTTTTGCTTCACCTCTTAGGAGGAAAGGCCTTCGGGGCAATGAAGGCCCAGCAGGAGGAAGTTCTGGACTCCTTCAATAAGGTAAGGCAGCAGGCTGTTAACATGATCCGATTATACAAGAGGACAGGTCCAAAGTGAATCAAAAATTATGTCCATTGCATCAACTCACCTAAGTCAAAATAGCTCTTATAGTCTGCATTTTATTTTATTTTTTTCCCCAGTATTTTCTACCCCGTTTCTTCTCAACCCCCGAAGGAGGACTCAGGACGGCTTACATTTGGCAGCAATTCAATTCCACTACATATAACAGAGCACTTTAATAACAATAAAAACAATAAATAAAACATTCATTAAAATAGTAAAAAGAGAACGGATTCTCCCCTATGAACCATCAAGGTTGTTAAGATCTTCTGAAGGGGCCCTGCTCTCGGTCCCACCGCCTTCGCAATCGCGTTTGGTGGGGACGAGGGACAGGGCCTTTTCAGTGGTGGCCCCTCGGCTTTGGGACTCCCTCCCGATGGAGATTAGATCTGCCTCTTCCCTCCTGACATTTAGAAAGTTGGTAAAAACATGGCTTTGGGATACCGCATTCGCAGAATGATGACTGAGTCAATAACTGCTGACCTTTCTGGCGGATGGCGATGAATTTGTGATTCTTTTGGACGAACGGATTTTTGCTGTAATTTGTATGAATTGTATGAAGTGTATTTTAGTGTATTTTATATTGATGACCTATAATGTTTTTCTTATTGTATTGAATTTTATGTTGTTAGCCAGCCTGAGTCCCTCCCTGGAGGTGAGAAGACTGGGATATAAAAGCTCTAAATAAATAAATAAATAAATAAATAAATAAATAAATAAATAAATAAAAGCATTATTAATAGCCGTATTACCATTCCAGTCAATTCCATATCCAGTTCCATGTCCAAAGTGCTATCTATGTCTGTTGTCCAAAACCCTGGTCCCAGAACCACGACTTTAATTTCTTACGAAATGACAGAAAAGACGGAGCCGATCTTAACTCAGTGGGAAGCGAGTAACACAGGCGGGGGGCCACAGCCGAGAAGGCCCTGTCTCTTATCCCTGCTCTGGCGGAAGCAAGAGCAGGGCCTCCCTGGATGATCTTAAACTGCAAGGCGGGATGTAGAGGGAGATGCGTTCTGACAAGTAAGCTGGGCCAGAACCGTATAGGGCTTTATAGGTCAAAACCAGCACTTTGAATTGAGCTCGGAAGTGGACTGGCAGACAGTGGAGCCGGCACAACAAGGGGGTGGTATGCTCCCTGTATGTCACTCCAGTTAGCAATCTGGCTGCCGCCCGTTGGACTAGTTGTAATTTCCGAACAGTCTTCAAAGGCAGCTCCATGTAGAGTGTGTTGCAGTAATCTATACAGGATGTAACAAGAGTGTGGACCACCGTAGCCAGATCTTTGCTTGGCTTCTAGCAGTGAAAACCACATTGGGGTTTTTGAATAGAAATATCTTTCGTATTTGTCCCAAATTTTGATAAGAGCAGATCTAATAAAATAATTCCCAATTTTTTTTCAATTTTGATTTTTACGTACCAAATATATGAATGCCTCAGATCAAAACCTTCTAATGTCAATATCTCTTCTTTTCTCAGTGCTATCCATTCTTTTACCCATGTTAGGGTGCAGGCTTCAAAGTATATTTTTAAGTCAGGGAGGCCGAAGCCACCTCTATTTTTCATGTCGGTCAATATTATGAATTTTATTCTAGGTTTCTTACCATTCCAGATGAACTTTAAAATGTCTTTATTCCAGATATGGAGTCCCCGGTGGCACAGTGGGTTAAACCCCTGTGCTGGCAGGACTGAAGACCGACAGGTCGCAGGTTCGAATCCGGGGAGAGGCGGATGAGTTCCCTCTATCAGCTCCAGCTCCTCATGCGGGGACATGAGAGAAGCCTCTCACAAGGATGATAAAAACATCAAATCATCCAGGCGTCCCCTGGGCAATGTCCTTGCAGATGGCCAATTCTCTCACACCAGGAGTCACTCCTGACATGACCAAAAAATATTTTAATGTTACGAATTATGGGGAGATTTTGGAAAAGATGTAACAATTTGGGAAGCACATTCATTTTTATTATTGCTATTTTCCCCAAAAATGACAAGTTAAGATTTTCCCAATTGGTTAGATCCATCTTTATTTCATCTTTTTAAACAGAAACTAATTCCTTGCACAAAAGCACTATTTTTCTATGCAGAAAACATCTTGTAATCAGACAGGGTCATTTTCTACACCAAAAGAGCCCTTTTTTTTACACAGAATAATTCCCAAACTGAGATTTCCACACATTCATAATTCTCCCAATGTGATAGAAACTAATTTTTTTTTTGTCATTTTCAATTTTTTCAAAAATAGATTCAGCCCTTATATATGCTGAGTATCGGTGCACAACACCCACAGAAAATTGAAAGTCTGAAAATAATAAAAATGCTAATTTTTAAAACCTGAGTGAACATCTCTCTAGGATTATTTAGTTTTTCCAGCATGACTCGGTGGTCACTTTCCACCAGATCATACTGGAGGATCTAGAGATTCCTCAAGAGGTATTCACTTTATGAATCTCTATGTTCTCTATTTATTTATTATGTTTTTATTTACTTATTTATTTAGATTTTTCATACCCTGCCCTTTTCATCCCGAAGAAGACTCAGAGTGGCTTACAGAACACACATACGGCAGACATTCAATGCCAATTATACAATTAACAAGGACAGACAACACAAACAGAGATCAAAGCAGTTGTTCCCATCTTATTTCCGGCATCTTTGGAGGCTGTGTTTGACTCCAGCCACCGGGGGTGTGGGGTGGGGGGTGTTGTCACCATCAGAGGGAAGCCAAGGAGTTTCCCTCTGATCGATGTCCTTAAGGATGCCTTTATTACCTCTCCGCTAAAAGCGGTAACTATTTATCTACTGGGTTGTTGTAGGTTTTTTCAGGCTATATGGCCATGTTCTAGAGGCATTCTCTCCTGATGTTTCGCCTGCATCTGTGGCAAGCATCCTCAGAGGTAGTGAGGTCTATTGGAACTAGGAAAAAGGGTTTATATATCTGTGGAATGACCAGGGTGGGACAAAGGACTCTTGTCTGCTGGAGCTAGGTGTGAATGTTTCAAATGACCACCTTGATTAGCATTTGATGGCCTGGCAGTGCCTGGGGCAATCTTTTGTTGAGAGGTGATTAGATGTCCTGGTTTGGTTTCCTCTCTGTTGTTTTGCTGTTGTAATTTTAGAGTTTTAATACTGGTAGCCAGATTTTGTTCATTTTCATGGTTTCCTCCTTTCTGTTGAAATTGTCCACATGCTTGTGGATTTCAATGGCTTCTCTGTGTCGTCTGACATGGTGGTTGTTGGAGTTTGGTGTTCTCAAATAAAATGCTGTGTCCAGGTTGGTTCATCAGGTGCTCTGCTATGGCTGATTTCTCTGGTTGAAGTAGTCTGCAGTGCCTTTCATGTTCCTTGATTCGTGTTTGGGCAATGCTGCGTTTGGTGGTCCCTATGTAGACTTGTCCACAGCTGCATAGTACACGGTAGACTCCTGCAAAAGTGAGAGGATCCCTCTTGTCCTTTGCTGAACGTAGCATTTGTTGGATTTTCTTGGTGGGTCTGTAGATAGTTTGTATGTTTTGTTTCCTCATCAGCTTCCCTATGCGGTCAGTGGTTCCCTTGATGTATGACAAGAACACTTTTCCTCTTGGTGGATCTTCGTCTTTATTCTCGTGGCTTGTTCTCGGTCTTGCAGCTCTTCTGATGTCTGAGGTGGAGTATCCATTGGCCTGTAGAGCCCAGTTTAAGTGGTTCAGTTTATCTTGGAGGAGGTGGGGTTCACAGATTCTTTTTGCACGGTCTGCCAAGGCTTTAATGGGGCTTCTTTTTTGACTTGGGTGATGGAGTTTTTATGTAGATATCTATCTGTGTGTGTGGGTTTTCTGTAAACGATGTGACCCGTTTGGAAACAGCAACAAAAAAGCCCACTATATGGTTCAGATATGTGGGTGACACTTTCACTATTTGGAGCCATGGAGAAGAAGAACTCAATAGGTTCCTGGAACATCTTAACAGCATCCACGCAAACATCCAGTTCACCATGGAAAAAGAAAATGAAGGAAGACTGCCTTTTCTAGATGTCCTAGTCATCTGCAAACCAGATCAACAATTGGGTCACACCGTTCAAGTCATAGGATATAATTGGAAATGAATTAAAGGAACACAACAACAACCGAAGCACAGGAAACTTCCGCTTATCTGACAGGTTAGGGATCAGACCACTGTCAGAAAGCGAAATTGGTGGAAAGGTGGAACCTTATTTATCTACTCTTATTTCTGCTTTCAACCTGATATGAGGCGCAAGTGAGTTGGGGCTAATGGCGGGTCCTCACCCTGACCCAGGCTCAAACTATTGACCTTTTGATTGGCAGGATTTTTCTGCAGTACAGCAGTTTAACCTGCTGTGCTAAGCCTGGCCCCTAGCATGAGTCTCTGATCAGCTTCCAGTAGACCACAGAGTAGAACTGGAAAGCCTAGATGTTTCTACATTTTAAATCAAATCCATGAGAGTCAAATCCACAAATGTGGAAGGCTGACTGTAATCTGCATGTTTAACATTATTGACATTTTTTTTTAATTCTTGCCATCCCTAGTTCCAAATACTTTTAGGCTTGAAGGCTGAAATGTGAGAGGATGGGCACTGATGTGTCATTAAACATCAGGTTTCATAATATGTGAATCTATTGTATAAGATGTGGATTTGGGAGAAAGATGATCTCATATCCATTTTGGTATCATTTAAAATATGATGTCAACCCTCCCTCAGAGGTGAGTGAACAAAACATGTGGGATGAGTGATATAAGGAGTGTGTTTGGAAGCTCAAAGATTTTCCAGCAGATCATAAAGAACCCCATTTGGGCAGTGATGTTGGTAGGAACAATTCCAGATGTCAATCATAATTATTAGAAAAGTGCATGTATGTTTTCATAATATCACAAGGATTTCAACTTGCAATTGCCACTTTTCAAAACTTAGGGAGACTGAGGTTCCTTCTACACTGTCATATAACATCCAGATTGTCTGCTTTGAACTAGATTATATGGCAATGTAGACTCATATAATCCAGTTCAAAGCAGATAATGTGGGTTATCAGATCTGATAATCTCGATTCTATGGCAGTTTTGAAGGGGACCTATTTATTTATTTAGAACATTTGTATCCCATCCTATTCTCGACCTCCGAAGAGGGACTCAGGGTGGCTTCCAACAATATAAAAACACCAATAAATACACAATGACATAAAATGATAATAAATATACATTTAAAAACAGTTCGCCTAGTTTAAAACATGCTCCAAGCCAGTCCAAAAAATGTGGTCCATCCAATCTCATCCAAGCCAGTAAGAACTGTCTATTCTGTGAACGTTTGCTCTCACAGCCAAGTCTTAAGTGTCTTGCGAAAAGTCAAAAGGGAGGGGGCAGATCTAACCTCTTTAGGAAGAGAGTTCCACAGCCAAGGGGCCACCACAGAGAAGGCCCTGTTTCTCGTCCCCACCAAACACGATTGCGATTGTGGTGGAACGAGAGCAGGGACTCCCCAGATGATCTTAAAGTCCTTGATGGTTCATAGGAAGAGACACATTTGGACAGGTAAAGTGAGCCAGTCGTTTAGGGCTTTATAGGTCAAAACCAGCACTTTGAATTGTGCTCGGAAGCTAAAAGGCAGTTAGTGGAGCGTAGCCTGATGATTCCTGTAATGCCACTGGATTATTATTTCTGCTGCAATTTTACAACAGTCAATTTCTTATAGGCTGAGTACCCCTTATAAAAAAGTCATAATGCTCCAAAATCCAAAAGGCAGAGAAATCTCTGTTTTTCATTAATTCAGCATACACAGAACTTGCTTCCTGGCCAAAATTATTAAAAAGTTCTAAAATTACCATCATGGTGAATGTAAGGTATATACAAAACATAAATCAATTTTTCAGTTAGACCTGGGTTCCATTTCCAAGATATCTCATTATGTATATGCAATTTTTTTAAAAATCCCAAATCTAAAACACTTCTAGTACCAAGCATTTAATATAAGGGATACTCAACCTATATTACTAATTAAAATGTATTTGCCATTTATGAAGGAGTTGGACAGCAGAAAACACAGCTGGAGTTCATGGTTTGGTAGCCCAACTCCACGACTTGCCCCAACAGAAAGACACTGTATATAATCAGCCTTTGTTTTCCTTCTTTAGGAATTCCTGGATGATCCCAAATATAGCACCGTTGAAGAGCTAGCGGAAAAATTAGAAATATTTAAGAGTAAGTTGCCATTTATTTATCGTGTCAGGAGCAACCAGACATTTGTATTACATTTTTAACAAAACAAACAGACAGACAGACAGACAAAACACAAAGTTTGCAAGCTTGGTAGTTGATTAAATGTCCTTTGACCAGTATCTGGCCACTTAGAGTGCCTCTGGTGTTGCCGCAAGAAGGTCCTCCATTGTGCATGTGGCAGGGCTCAGGTTGCATTGCAGCAGGTGGTCAGTGGTTTGCTCTTCTCCACACTCGCATGTTGTGGATTCCACTTTGTAGCCCCATTTCTTAAGGTTGGCTCTGCATCTCGTGGTGCCAGAGCGCAGTCTGTTCAGCGCCTTCCAAGTCGCCCAGTTTTCTGTGTGCCCAGGGGGAGTCTCTCATTGGGTATCAGCCATTGATTGAGGTTCTGGGTTTGAGCCTGCCACTTTTGGACTCTCGCTTGCTGAGGTGTTTCTGTAGATCTTAGAAAACTATTTCTTGATTTAAGTCGTTGATGTGCTGGCTGATACCCAAACAAGGGATGAGCTGGAGATGTCACTGCCTTGGTCCTTTCACAACTGGCTGCTACTTCCTGGCAGATGTCAGGTGGTGCAATACCGGCTAAACAGTGTTGTTTCTCCAGTGGTGTAGGGCGCAGACACCCCGTGATAATGCGGCATGTCTCATTAAGAGCCACATCCACTGTTTTAGCGTGGTGTTCCACACTGGGCATGCATACTCAGCAGCAGAGTAGCATAGTGCAAGGGCAGATGTCTTCACACTGTCTGGTTGTGATCCGCAGGTAGTGCCAGTCAGCTTTCGTATAATATTGTTTCTAGCACCCACCTTTTGCTTGATATTCAGGCAGTGCTTCTTGTAGGCCAGAGCATGGTCCAGAGTGACTCCCAGGTATTTGGGTGCGCTGCAATGCTCCAGTGGGATTCCTTCCCAGGTAATCCTCAGATATTACCTGGGAATCCAAAATGACACCGAGATCCAACAGCTAATTGACAAGAAAAGGAAAGCCTTCCAAGCATGGCAGAGAGACATCAACTGTGCTGCTAAGAAAAAGATCTATGCCAGTGCAAAAGCTGAGGTCCAAAGAAGGACAAGAGAACTCAAGAACATCTGGTGGACAAAGAAGGCTGAAGAAATCCAACACCTGGCAGATACCCATAATGCTCAGGGATTTTTCAAAGCCACAAAGGTCATCTACGGACCAAGAAACCATGGCATACAGCCTCTACGCTCATCAGATGGAACCAAACTCCTGAAGGACCAAAACTCAATTGCACTACGTTGGAAAGAACACTACCAAAGCCTCCTGAACCGCAGCTCCAATGTGGCCGAAGAGGTCCTCTCACAAATCCCACAACAACAAACCAGGGATGAGCTTGCAGCACTGCCCAGTTTGGAAGAAGTCAGCAATGCCATCAGCCAACAGAAGAATAACAAAGCCAGTGGACCAGATGGGATCCCTGCTGAAATCTTTAAAGAGGGAGGACCTGAGCTGACACACCAACTCCACCAGCTCATAGAAAAAGTGTGGGTGACCGAGAAAATCCCAGCAGATTTCAAGGACGCCACCATCATCACCCTCTTCAAAAAAGGGGAAAGAACAGACTGCGGAAACTATCGAGGTATCTCCCTTCTAACCTCCGCTGGGAAAATCCTCGCAAGAATCCTTGCAAACCGCCTTCTGCCCCTCTCAGAAGACACCCTCCCAGAATCCCAGAACGGCTTCCGCCCCTCCAGAGGAACCGTGGACATGATCTTCACTGCACGACAACTCCAAGAAAAATGCAGGGAACAAAATCAACCTCTGTACATGGCATTCATCGACCTTGCAAAGGCATTCGACACAGTGAATCGCAGCGCTCTCTGGACCATCCTCCAAAAATCGGGTGCCCAAACAAATTTGTGAACATCCTGCGGCTCCTCCATGATGACATGATGGCAACAGTCTTGGACAGCAGTGGCTCCCAAAGTGACCCATTTAAGGTGGAATCAGTGTCAAACAGGGATGTGTTATTGCCCCAACTCTATTCTCCATCTTCATTGCTATGATACTTCACCTTGTTGATGGGAAGCTTCCCACCGGAGTGGAAATCATCTATCGGACAGATGGCAAGCTATTCAACCTCAGCAGACTGAAAGCCAAAACCAAGGTTACAACAACTTTTATAGAACTCCAGTATGCTGATGACAACACCATCTGTGCGCATTCAGAAGAAGACCTACAAGACACTCTAAACACCTTCGCAAGCATACGAGAAGCTCGGCCTGTCATTGAACATCAAGAAAACAAAGTACTCTTCCAGCAGTCACCAGCCAATCTCTCTCCAATGCCAGAAATACAGCTTAATGGTGTAACATTAGAAAATGTTGATCATTTCCGCTACCTTAGCAGCCATCTCTCCACCAAAATCAACATTTACACCGCCTGAGCTCTGCGAGTGCAGCATTTTCCTGAATGAAGCAGAGAGTGTTTGAGGACCGGGACATCCGTAGGGATACCAAGGTGCTTGTCTCTAAAGCTATTGTCCTCCCAACCCTGCTATATGCCTGTGAGACGTGGACTGTCTACAGACATCACATGCAACTCCTGGAACGATTCCATCAGCGCTGCCTCCGGAAAATCCTGCAAATCTCTTGGGAAGACAAGCGGACAAACGTCAGCGTGCTGGAAGAAGCAAAGACCACCAGCATTGAAGCGATGGTCCTCCAACATCAACTCCGCTGGGCCGGCCACGTTGTCCGGATGCCTGACCACCGTCTCCCAAAGCAGTTGCTCTACTCCGAACTTAAGAACGGAAAACGGAACGTTGGTGGACAGGAAAAGAGATTTAAAGATGGGCTCAAAGCCAACCTTAAAAACTCCGGCATAGACACTGAGAACTGGGAAGCCCTGGCCCTTGAGCGCTCCAGCTGGAGGACAGCTGTGACCAGCAGTGCTGCAGAATTTGAGGAGGCACGAGTGGAGGGTGAAAGAGTGAAACGTGCCAGGAGGAAGGCGCGTCAAGCCAACCCCGACCGGGACCGCCTTCCACCTGGAAACCAATGCCCTCACTGCGGAAGAAGATGCAGAGCAAGAATAGGGCTCCACAGCCACATACGGACCCACAAGGAAATCCATAATGGAAGACCATCTTACTCGTCCAACGAGGGATCGCCTAAGTAAGTAAGTATATCCTCAGAGCTCAGGATGCTTGTCTGTTCTTAAGGTGAAAGGCACATGTCTGTGTTTTAGATGGATTAGGAATCAGCTAGGTTTCCCTGTAATAGGCAGTAAGAGCACCTAGAGCTTCGGAGAGCTTCTGTTCAACCATCTCAAAGCTCCCTACTTGAGCAGTAATGATGAAGGATGAAGGGAGGAGAATGCAAAGAGTTCAATGTATGTATTGTCGAAGGCTTTCATGGCCGGAATCACTGGGTTGTTGTAGGTTTTTCCGGGCTATATGGCCATGTTCTAGAGGCATTTTCTCCTGACATTTCGCCTGCATCTATGGCAAGCATCCTCACTACCTCTGAGGATGCTTGCCATAGATGCAGGTGAAACGTCAGGAGAAAATGCCTCTAGAACATGGCCATATAGCCCGGCAAAACCTACAACAGCTCAGTTCAATGTATATAAATAAAGTGGTGCTGAGTCTTTAGCCACATTTAGCCATTCCATAGACTACTTTCCGCCCATCTCTGGAAAAATGTTAAAATAACATTGCAGTTGGAACATGTTCAGATAATGTGATTCTTTCTACATTTTTGTTTAATATCAATGTTTTTCTTCCTTTTCTCACCTACTTCATTGCACTTCCCTCTCCAGCACAACTGTCATGCCATTGCATTCACTCAGCATTTCATGCCACAAAGTGATTACGAAGCTACATTTGGGGTGGAGGCAAAGACATTCTTAGGGCTTTTTTTCTCCCCTTTCATAATCTCCAAATCTTAATATTACTCCAATATGGCGTGCACATTGTTAATTGATTCATTAAGTAAATCCAGTGTCTGGATGGGGCTGATGAAAGCCAAAATCCAAAAAAAAAAAAAAAAAAAAACAACCTGGAGAGCCACCAAAGGTTCCCTATTCCTATAGGAGAATGCATGTGTGATCTAGCAAGGCAATATTTGTGTTTTTTATCTTCCTCTGTTCTGTTTTGCAGAGAAATACATGGAATTTGACCTCAATGCACAAGGCGATATAGGTAAGTTTTGCTTCATACTCAGGCCCTTCCGCACAGTTCTATAAAATACAAATTGAACTGGATTATATGGCAGTGTAGACTCAGATAATACAGTTCAAAGCAGATTTATTTATTTATTTATTTGCTTTACTTCTATACCGCCTTTCTCAGCCGAAATGGTGACTCAAGGCGGATATTGTGGATTATCTGCCTTCATATTTTGTGTTATATGACTGTGTGGAAGGACCCTCAGTCTTGCTCTCTATTGTCTTATATGGCAGTGTAGATGGGGCCTGAAGCACCTTCTACACTGCCATATAATCCAGATTATCAAATAAAATAATCCACTATCTGGTTTGAACTAGATTATATGAGTCTAGACTGCCATATAATCCCATTCAAAGCAGATAATCTGGATTTTCTATGGCAGTGTAGATGGGCCCCAACAGGCCTGTAGCGAGGGGGTGGTTTTAGGGGTTCAACC